TTATTTCGATTTGAGTATCAAGTAGCCGAGACTGAATACAGAAATTGAGGAACTATCTTATTTTGCTAAGGAGCCTTAAAGGATAAATCGGAATCCTGTAAAAATAGCAGCAGTCCTCGTTTAAACTATTCTGCGACGTTCCCATCCAGTACCTTGGAAGCCATTTCTGTGGGTCCAACTAACAAAAAAAATTAAGTTTTCCATGTAAAATGTTGGAAAAATAACCGTTTAGGAGGGGACCGATCTCCAGATCCCCTGCATCTGTAAATAGTATCCCACCGGAATTTAGTTAGTTTGGATGAAATCAAAATATTCCCTTTATCTTGCCTTCTATAAAGAATTTCAGTCTTCAGATGACCTGAAGAAGCTCTTCTCCTACGGAGGATCTTTTGTTATAGAGGTTCTACGAAAGGTCTTCTGCCTCTATTAGACTGCAAAGAGTTTTCGGTCTCTAAAAATAAAAAATAAAATACCTTCTTTTTGTAGAGAACCCTTTTAGGGTCTTCTGTCTGGAGGAGACTTGAAAAGTTCTTCTACCTCTAAAACCGTTTCAGTCTCCAGAAGACCTGTAAAATACTTTATTCTAGTAGATGGTCCATTTGAGGTCTTCTGTCTACGGAGAACCTGAAAAAGTCTTCTACCTCTAGAAAGTCTTTAAAGGGTATAGACGGTTTTAGTCGAAGGCCCATAGACGGTTTTTTTGCTAAGGAGATCTGTATAAGGACTTCGGACTCTAGGTGACCTTTAAGAGACTTCTTGAATATTAAAGACTTAGAAAAGGTCTCCTGCCTTTACGAGACCTTCTGTATCTAGACAACCTATAAAGTACCCACTTTGTGTCTTCTGTCTGCAGAAGACCTGAAAAAGTTTTCTACCTCCATAAGGTCTTTAAAGGGTCTGCTGCCTGTAGAAGACCCATAGACGGTTTTGTTACCACAGGAGATCAGTATAAAGTCTTCAGGCTCTAGGTCACCTTTAAGAGCCTTGTACAGTATTAAAGACCTAGATAAGGTCTCCTGCCTTTACGAGACCTATTGTATCTAGAAAAGCTATAAAAAACCCTTCTGTTTGCAGCAGTCCTGAAATAAGTTTCCTACATGCAGAAGGTCTTAAAAGGGCCTGCTGCCTTTAGAAGGCACATAAAAAGTTTTGGTGTTAAAGGAGACCTGTATTAGGTCTTATGACTTTAGAAGGCTTGTAAGATGTCTCTTGGATATTTAAGACCTAGAGGAGGTCTTCAACCTCTACGAGATCTAAACATAGCCTTTTGTCTGTATAAAACCCATTTAGGCTCTTCCGTCTATAGAAGACCTAAAAAAGATCTGTGGTCTGCAAAAAAGTGGTAAAATATTTTCTAGGAGACCTGTAAGAGTTCTCATGCATATTGAAGACCTTAAGAAGGTCTCCTACCTCTACGACACCTGAAAATAGTCTTTTGTTTGTAAAAAATCCATTTTCGTCTACAGAAGACCTAAATAAAATTTTTTGGTCTGCAGAAAACCTGTAAAATTGTTACTGCCTTTGGAAAACTTGTAAAGGGCCTCAGATCTTGTGGCTTTCGTGGACCTGTATAAGGTATTTTGTTTCTGGAAGATCTTTAACGCCTATCTTGTCTTCTGAGGGCCCGTAAAAGCACTTCTGTCTGTGGAGGACCTGTGGAAAATTATTTGTGTTCTAGAAGACCTGTATAAAATCTAATTCCTCTGGGATACCCATAGCACCCATCTTATTTTTGAAAGACCTGTTAAAGGACCTATTGAAAATATTTAATCTTTCAGAAGACCATTAAGGAGTCTTTTGTCTCCTTGTTAAGTTCTTCTGTCCCTGGGAGACCTGTAATAGATCTTATGCCTTTAGACGACACTTAGAAAGTCTTATCTCAATAATATAACTCCTAGAATGTCTATTAAAGGTCTTCCGTTTATAACATATCTACATAAGGTCCTTTGATTGTAGAAGATCTCTTAAATGCCGAACAGCCCCTAGGTAACCTAGAGAAGGTTCATGTCTCTAGCTCTAGAAGGTCTTGTGGCTAAGGGAATCCTCTTAATCTACTCGGTCCCCGGAAGATTTCTAATAGATCTTCTTTAGAAGGTCTTCGCTCTATAGTGCAACTCTTAGAGGTCTTCTGCTTCCAGAACGCCACTTAAGATCTTATTTTTCTATAAGATCTCTTAAATGCCTAGCTCTCTCTAGATAACCTAAAGAAGTCTCCTGTCTTTTGGCGACTCATAAAAAAGTTATCTGTCCTTAGAAGACTTTTTTCAGGTCTCCTAATTCTAGAAGACCTATTGAAATTATCTCAGGAATGCTTATTGGCGGTCCTCCGTCTCTAGAAGACATATAAAAGCATTTTGTCTTTACAAGACTTAAAAAAAGGACCTGTTAGAGATCTATTGCTTGTAGAAGACATTTAGAAAGACTTCTCTCTATTGTAGAACTTTTAGAGGTCCCCTGACTCTAGAATGCTCTATTAAAGGTCTTCTGTCTCTAGACGGCATTTATAAGATCTTCTGTTTCTTAAAAATCTGCAAACGGCTCCGGGACTCTAGAAGATTTCTTTAACGCCTAGCTGCCCCTTGGTAAACTAAATAAGTTTCTTATCTGTAGGCGCCCATAGAACGTCTTATGGCTAAGGAAAATCTCTTAATATATTCTGTCCCTGGGAGACCTCTGGGGATCTTCTGTCTCTAGAAGATATTTAGAAGGTCTTCGCTCTATAGTAGAACCATTAAGAGTCATCTGCCTCTAAACGGCCTTTATAAGATCATCTATTTCCAAAAAAAATTGCAAAAGGCTCCCGGACTCTGGAAGATCTCTAAAATGTCTAGCTTCCTCTAGATACCCAAAATAAGTCTCCTGTCTCTAGGCAACTCATAAAAAAGTCATCTGTCCTAAAGAAACTATTATAAGGTCTTCTAACTCTAGAAGGCCAATTGAAATTATCCTGTCTCTAGAATACCTGTCGGCAGTCCTCTGTCTCTAGAAAGCATTTAAAAGGCGTTTTGTCTTAACAAGACTTAGAAAGGACCTGTGAATATCTTCTGCTTGTAGAAGACATTTAGAAAGCCTTCTCTCTATAGTAGAACTTTTAGGAGTCCACTGATTCTATAATGCCTATTAAAGGTCTTCTGTCTTTAGACGGCTTTTGTAAGATCTTCTGTTTCTAAAAAATCTACAAAAGACTCCCGGAATCTGGAAGATCTCTAAAATGTCTAGTTTCCTCTAGATAACCAAAATTAGTCTCCTGTCTCTAGGCAACTCATAAAAAAGTCATCTGTCCTAAAGGACAGAGGTCTTATAACTCTAGAATACCAATTGAAATTAGCCTGTCTCTAGAATACTTATTGGCAGTTCTCTGTCTCTAGAAGACATTTAAAAGGTAATTTGTCTTTACAAGACTTAAAAAAGGACTTGTAAGAGATCTTCTGCTTGTAGAAGACATTTAAAAAGATTATCTCTATAGTAGAACTGTTAGAGGTCCCCTGACTCTAGAATGCATTTATAAGATCTTCTGTTTCTAAAAAAATCTGCAAACGGCCCCGGGACTCTAAAAGATTTTTGTAATGCCAAGCTGCCCCTTGGTAAACTAAAGAAGTTTCTTGTCTCTAGGCGTCCATAGAAGGTCTTATGGCTAAGGAAAATCTCTTAATATATTCTGTCCCTGAGAGACCTCTGGGGATCTTCTTTCTCTAGAAGATATTTAGAAGGTCTTCGCTCTATAGTAGAACCATTAAAGGTCATCTGCCCCGAGACAGCCTTTCTCATAAAAAAATGCATTTGATCTCCGGAGACTTTTTAAAGGTTCTCTAGAAGACCAATTGAAAGTGTCTCGTATCTAAATACTTATTAAAGGTCCTTTATCTGTAGAAGATTTCCTTAATGCCAGCAGCCTGTAAATACCCTAAAGGAGCTCTTCTGTCTCTAGGCGACTCACAAAAAGTCATCTGTTCTTAGACAAATTTTACAAAGTCTTCTATCTCTAGAAGATCAATTGAAAGCATCCTGTCTCTAGAATACATATTTCCGATCCTCCGTCTCCAGAAGAAATGTGAAAAGGTACTTTGTCTTTACAAGACTTAAAAAGGCCTTCGGATTTATTCGGAGAATAAAAGGCCTCTAAATGTTCATTCTCTCTCTACCTCTCTCTCTTTCTCTCTCTCTCACACACACACTCTAAAGGTGAGAACATACAAAATGTTTTTTTTGGTTGGCTTAAGTCATCGACTGGCTTTTTCGAAAAAATAACAAAAGAGTTTCAGGTTGACTGGGTTCAATTTTTCCCATAATTTATGCTCTGTTTACTCTTCCCTCCTTCGATCTTTTATGAATAAGGGTGGAAATACATAAATCGCATATTTGGCTGGCTTAAGTCCTCGGCTAGCTTTTTCGTAGATGAACAAAGGAGTTTTAGGTTGACTTAGGTCGATTTTGGACCTAGGCTCCTTTGTTCATTTCCGAAGAAGCCAGCAGCTGACTTAAGCCAGCCAGAGAAGCGCTTTATGTATTCCCACCTTAAGCCAGCCGAAGCCTCAAGCCAGTCAAAAAAGCCATTGTATGTTTCTCACCTTAAAAGGCCATGTCTCTATAAAAACCCTTTAAAATATTTTCCATCAATGGAAGAACTATAAAAGCCTCATCCATGGAAGGCCAGCAAGACATATTTTACCTCTAGAAGACCAGTAAAATATTCTCTTTCTCTTGAAGATCCATCAAACTTCTTTTATAACTCAACCGAATTTTTTTAAATTAAATTTAAATTACCTTGTCTTTTTAAAACTGATTTGTATTCGTTTTGAAATGTAGACTACATTTCGATGCAAAGCTGCAGCAATTAATTCAACATCAAAAAAAAACAGCGACTGACATTCAAAATTAATTATTAAAAATGGAAAAATTCACCCACCAAAAAATAACAAATTATGTAAAACCCTCTCTCACATTACCCATGTCTGTATGCTAATCCCTTGTCATTCGTTGTCTTCCAGCCAGTTCTCAAAAAAAAAATTAAAAAAAAAACCTGAAAATGAAATTCCTACTCATTGCCGCCGCTGTCGCTGTCTGCTTCGCCTTGGCCATGGCCGAGGAACAGTACACCACCAAATACGACAATGTCGACTACAAAGAAATCTTGAAATCGGATCGTCTCTTCAACAACTACTACAAATGTCTGATCGACGAGGGTAACTGCACTCCCGATGGCCGTGAATTGAAGAAGATCTTACCCGATGCCCTGCAGACGGCCTGCTCCAAGTGCAATGACAAACAAAAGGCTGCCGCCGAAGAGGTGGCTCGTTTCGTCATCGACAACAAACCCGAAGAATGGAAGGTATTGCAGGCCAAATATGATCCCGAGGGAGTCTTCTATGCCAAGTACAAGGATGAGGCTGCCAAGCGTGGTTTCAACGTCTAATATTGAGACAGTATTCGGTTTTTTTAAAGAAGTTATAGACCCATGATCTGGCTGATGTTATTATTTCCCAAACTCCAAAGAATTTCAACAAATTTCATTATTGCATCAGTAATTGCATTTTTCTCATAGAATTTAATTTGTTTTTCTATTGTTGTTTTTTATGTTTTTTAAAAAATAAATTACATTAAATGAAGTATAAAAAAAAATTAAAAAATTGTTTTATTAAAAAGTGAGGCAAAATGTAAAAAAAAAATGTATTTTTAACACGGAAAACCTAATGAAGACCTATAAAACGTATTTCATCTAAAGTATGTCTTCCACAGGGTGAGATAAAAAAAATCTGCAACAAACTCAAACGCCATCATTTTTAAACTTTTTTTTAATTCTATTGAATGAAAGCAAACAAGTAAAAAAGCTGAAAGTTCGGCCGGGCCGGACTTTTAATACCCTCCACCATTTGGTACAAATTTGGAAATTTCCAAAAAAAAAAATCCGTTAAAAATTCTGTTAAAATCTTAAAAATACCGAATGCTTATACGACGACGTGGGCCTGCATAGGCAACTTTTGTCATAAGTTATTACAATATTTAAATGCGAAACTTGAAGAAAAATCTGTTTATAATGTAGCTAAAATCATCAAAATACCGAATATCGGGGGGTACCGTTATATGGAGGCTACACGAAGACGTGGACCTACATGGCTCATTTTTTGACTTAGGATGAAGTATCCATTACGAACTTCAAATGCCAAATTTGAAACAATTCCGGTAAACAATGTCGCTAAAATCATCAAAATACCGAATATGGGGGGTACCGTTATATGGGGGCTATACGAAGACGTAAACCTGCACAGACAATTTTCTGGCATGGGCTGAAGTATCCATTACGAACTTCACATGCGAAGTTTGAAACAATCCCGGTAAATAATGTCGCTAAAATCATCAAAATACCGAATATCGGGGGGTACGGTATATGGGGGCTATACAAAGACGTGGACCTGCACAGACAATTTTCTGTCTTAGGCTGTAGTATCCATTGCGAACTTCAAATGCCAAATTTGAAACAATTCCGGCGAATAATGTCGCTCATCAAAATACCGAATATCGGGAGTACCGTTATATGGGCGCTATATGATAACTTGGACCTACATGGCCCATTTACGAACTTAACCTGCCTACTGGCAAAATATACATGTGTGCAAAATTTTAGCCTTCTACCTCAATTCGTTCGAAAGATAGCGTGATTACAACAGACAGACAGCCACACAGACAGACAGACGGACATGGCTAAATCGTCTTAGAATTTTACGCTGATCAAGAATAGATAAACTTTGTTGGGTCTGACATAAGTATTTCGAGGAGTTACAAACGGAATGACAAAATTAATATACCCTCCATAGTATGGTGGAGGGTATAAAAATGTCGGAAATAGCATCAAATTTTAGAATAAGTTTAGATTAGTTCGAATTGGTCAACTTTGGCACAAATTATGGCCTTCAAACGGTCGATGAAACCGTCACACGCTGCCTGAATGTGGCTCTGCGGTATTTTGGTCCATTCCCTGCGAAGCGCTGCCTTGAGATGATAGACACTTTGGTATTTTATAGTGCCAACCTTGCTTTCCAAAATACTCCAGAGACAATAGTCCAACGGATTGCTATCCGGCGATTTTGGTGGCCATTGTGCGCTGGAAATGAAGCGAGAAACCTTATTTTGTAACCATTTTTGGGTGGTGCGTACTGAGTGCGATTGTGCTAAGTCCTGTTAGAATGTCCAAGGTCTGCGGCCAAAATGTTTGCGTGCCCAAAGCTTTAAAACGCCCTCCAGAATATTTTCGCTTTAATATTCGGCATTTATTCTGGTGCCACGGTCGATTAATACGAGCGGAGAGCGACCATCGGCTGTTATGGCGGCCCTCACCATCACCATGGCTAGCGCTTTCAGCTGACCTCTTTGGCAAATAAACCCGATCATTTTGTTTGTTTACAAACTGCTGGACAACGAATGTTTTCTCATCGGAGAAAACCAAATACGACCGTTCACCACTTTCGGCCAAGCGAAGCGAAGCAACTCTTTAGCTCCTTTGAGTTTATTTTCTTTCAGTTGCGGTATAAGTTCTTGCACTTTTTGGAATTTCAATGGCTTTAAGCCGCGCTCATTTTTCAATATTTGCCGAATGGAATATTGCGATATGTTCAGCTCACGAGCCATTTTTCAGCCTCTGCGACGCGAGTTTCGATCAAATCGTTTCTTTACTTTTCGAACCATTTCTGCTGATGTTGCTGTTTTCTTTCGTCTTCCGTCCCCTTCCTTGACGTCGGGCTACGCTACTAGTATCAATATCACGGTAACGAGCGATGGTACGAGACACAAAATATTTATTCACATTTAAATGCTGGAGGGCTCTAACACTTGTGGTTTTCCAGCCAAATATAAGGAAATCACACTATCCCGCATGAATTCCATTTCGAATAACTTTTTGACTGGAAAATTCTCACGAAAATGCTTTTGTACGCTTGTAAACAATATAATGAGCTGTCACTGGAATAATTTTAATAGCTGTCGGACGAGTGGTTAGGTAATGACAGCAGCATGAAGTTGGTTGCATTTTTTACATCTCACCCCGTATTTCTTAAATTTACAGATTCCGAGGAATCTTAATCTGAAAACAACATTCCCCCAAAGAATACCCTCTAAGGGTACCATAATTGGTGCCTTTTAATACTTTTCGTACCGTTCTAGAACAAATTTCCAAAAAAACCCAGCCTTATCTGACACTTTCGGACCAAGATCCTTAAGATCCAAGCTTCTTTGCTGAAGTTTACATTTTGCAGGGAGATTTTCTAAATTCGCCGCATCAAAAAATGTGACAATGAATTGAGTAATTCAATCATTTCAGATATCTAGGGTACATTATTTTTATACCCTCCACCATACTATGGAGGGTATATTAATTTTGTCATTCCGTTTGTAACTCCTCGAAATACTCATGTCAGACCCAACAAAGTATATATATTCTTGATCAGAGTAAAATTCTAAGACGATTTAGCCATGTCTGTCTGTCTGTCTGTCTGTTGTAATCACGCTATCTTTCGAACAAATTGAGATAGAAGACTTTTTTAAGTCCTTTTAAGAAGAATGTCTGATCCTAGGCTATTTGCAGGTTTCTTTATCAGAAGACGTATTTTTTATTTAAATTTTGCACACATGTATATTTTGCCAGTAGGCGGGTTAAGTTCGTAAATGGGCCATGTAGGTATATGTTATCATATAGCCCCCATATAACGGTACCTCCCGATATTCGGTATTTTGATGATTTTAGCGACATTATTCACCGGAATTGTTTCCAATTTGGCATTTGAAGTTCGTAATGGATACTACAACCTAAGACAGAAAATTATCTGTACAGGTCCACGTCTTCGCTCCCGATATTCGGTATTTTGATGATTTTAACGACATTATTTACCGGAATCGTTTCAAATTTAGTATTTGAAGTTCGTAATGGATGCTACATCCTAAGTCAAAAAATGGGCCATGTAGGTCCACGTCTTCGCATAGCCCCCATATACCGTACCCCCCGATATTCGGTATTTTGATGATTTTAGCGACATTATTTACCGGGATTGTTTCAAATTTCGCATGTGAAGTTCGTAATGGATACTTCAGCCCATGCCAGAAAATTGTCTGTGCAGGTCCACGTCTTCGTATAGCCCCCATATAACGGTACCCCCCAATATTCGGTATTTTGATGATTTTAGCTACATTATAAACAGATTTTTCTTCAAGTTTCGCATTTAAGTATTGCAATAACTTATGACAAAAGTTGCCTATGCAGGTCTACGTCGTCTTATAGGCATTCGGTATTTTTAAGATTTTAACAGAATTTTAAACGGATTTTATTTATTTTTTTTTTTTGTACCAAATGGTGGAGGTTATTAAAAGTTCGGCCCGGCCGAGCTTTTTTACTTGTTTTTTTTTTTTTTTTGAAATATAAAAATTTTGAATTGATTGTAACGGTGCCTAAACAAAATATGTTGGCACCACACCAAGCCCCCGCATTGGTACTCGCTTCAGTTGTTGTTGTTGTTAATTGGCCAAGCTGTGATTAACATTGGCCCGGTGACATAAATCCCTCACCCCAAGTGGCAAACCTTAGAGATGGCTGGCACGTGTAGTTTTTTTGTTTGAAAAATAATGGTATTGAAATTTCAAATCCATAATACAACAACAACAAAATCCAAAAACATTTAATGTTTGAGAAGAGAATTCAATAACTGGTATGAAGGTGCAACTTGTTTTTTTACAAAATTATTAACAATAATTTACATGCATGCTTAATCAAGTTAAGTTTTCAAAAGATTACAAAATCAATAGCATTTGATATTAACATATACACTTCATAGTATATATGTATTTTTATATTGAGAATTATATTTGAACCCTACAACACTATGTGTTGGGGGTATTATAAGTCTGATTGGGCCCAAAATTATGCAGCACCTCGAAATATTGGTTTCCCACATAGGAAAGTATATATGGATCTTCCTATCTCGCCGAGATGAGTCGATCTAGTCCGTCCGTCCGTCTGTCCATGTTAATTTTTATTCAAGCTACAGGTCGCAATTATGAATCCTCACGAAATTGAAAATGAAGGTGGAGTTAGGGTCAGAATAGAAACCTATTGTTTTTGGAGATGATCGCATGATATTTAGGGGTTGGAATAGACAAAAAACAGAAAATTTTCCTGATTTTGCAGTTGCTCTATAGGCCACAATTATATACCAATGGACGCGAAACTTTACATGGAGTTAGAAGTTAGGACTGGGCAGAAGTCTACCAATTTGGGCAGCCATCGGAAAATATTTAGCGGGTAAAATAGACCCCAACTTTTATGTAAGAAAATAGGAAAATTGTCACTAAACGGCTAATATTTTCAATCCAAGTCAAATCACAAATACATTAAAAGATCACTACACCCCCCAACACTACGTTTTGAGGGTATCATATGCATGTCGCAATTATCGTCCGATCTTCACGAAATTTTGCATGGGAGTAGGGTTAGGGTCATAATTAAAGCCTATTGTTCTTAAGATGTAAATTTAGAGATGCAAATGGTCTAAGAAAATAAAATTTTTCTAATTTTTAGTC